TGTGTGCTGCACACCATCGGCGCTGTTGTCGGGTTTCTGCTGCTTCTCCATCTTCTTATAGTATTATAAAAATATATTATATTTGTTTCGTCACCATCAATACATATTTATACTTATAAACAGTGAATATGTTTTTTTGTATTGAAATTCAATAAAATTTATTTTTTTGTTTTTTTGCAAATGTACACATATTCTTGTTTCTCGGGTGTATATACAGCAGCTTTTTGCACTCTCCTTTCGGTCTCTAAGACAAACAACCACACGAAAAAAAGAGAAGCTGCAGAAGAGGCACCGCAGCGCCAGTGTCTTGCAAGTAGCAAGACATTGGCGCTGTGGGGCCTCGCTGCTGCTGCTGCTGCTGCTGCTGCTGCTGCTGTGCTGCTCAGCAGCGCAGAAGCGGCACAGCTGTCGTTCACCCCGCGGAACTGCTGCAGCAACGCATGCAACAGCAGCAGCAGCAGCAGCACAAGCAGCAGCAGCAGCGTGAGCAGCAGCTGCACGGGGGCCTCCAGGGTTGTGTGGTGCTGGGTGCGAAGACCGACGGACTGGTCTCCAGGGTGAGGGTGAGCGTGGTGAGGGGGGTTTCGTCTCAACTTGAATAAATATATTAGCTTACAACTATCACTGAAAAAGAAATACAAAGAAAAACAAAAGCTGAGCTAGAAGACAACGTACGGCGAGGCAGACGATCACCGCCAGCAGCAGAAACCCTAAACCTAGACCATTCAACTGAGTCCTCAGGGTGCAGCCGGCAGCTCTATGCGGCTTCTCCGAGCCAGTATATTCTCTTTTGACTCAGTTTTTAGTTTTTCAGATGAAAGCACAGCAGCAGCTTGAAAAAACATGCAAGAAAGAGTTGAACGCCGCCAGCGCCGCCAGTTTCTGCACAGGATACTCACCGAGGCGCTGCAGCTGCGTTCCGCGCAGAGAGGGTTCGCTTGTTCTTTCTCGTGGATGGAGTGAGATACAGGGAGAATAAAAGTCACAATAAATCAATAATTATAATATATCTTCAAAAGAATACACCAAATGGGGCCCCCTCGCCGCAGACGAACATTTACCTGGGTCAGCTGGGGGCCCCCCGAGGGGCCCACAACATAGACCGCCGCCATAGAAACTGCTGCTGCGTCGGCAGAATCTGTATATTTTTGAGCTTTCTTCGCGATGAAATTGAGTTTAATACACAAAGAATGCAATTAATAAATTAAATTTATATAAATACTTTTTTTAAGCAGCTAAAACACACGCAGAACCACCAAGAAGGGTACGGGTGTGTAGCTCAATGGTAGAGCAGCCGACTGCAGATCGGCAGGTTCATGGTTCAATTC